TATATATATATATATATATATAATATATATATATATATATATATATATATAAACTGTAACTGGAGCGTGTAACAAAAATAATTTCCCTCTGGGATTATTAAAGTATTTCTGATTCTGATGTTGCTTTTATTAGCATTAGCATTTAGCCCCCAGTTACCCTGACACCCCTAAACAAAGACTACATTTCACTCTATATATAAATGTGGAGTCTGGCAATTATTGTAATCCCCAAATACAATTCATTTATTGGCTTTAATTAACTATTTTAAAGTTTTTGTAATTTGTTTAACAGGATGTTTCTTTTAAATTGGTAATTATATTTTTAAAAGTATAATTAAAGTCATATTTGGATAAATAGAAATACATGTACCATCTACAATATTATATTTACTTATTTCATTCTACATTTCTATATTTCATGGGACATTCACATTTATGCATCTTATTCATGTTGGCCTTCCATATAATTCAGGGATCATATAATAAGGATTGTAACCTTTGGGAATCTATGCAGTTGGAATAGAAACACCTTTATTGTCTGAAAAGTGGGGAATCAGGTAAAAATGTATAAACAGAAGAAACCAGATTTACACAGATTAATTAATCTAAAAAGTGAAGCTCTGAACTTATCGAAAAATAAAGTAAAATGCAGTTATTAATAGATAAGTATTCAGTAAATTCAGTAGTTTAACAGAAGAAAGAGGGAAGCCTTTTCGACTTGTGTTTCCCTTTGGTCATTTTGTCTCACCGTGAGTTTTCTCTCAGTTAAAAGTATTGATATTTGTCCAAAAGTTGAACGTACAATAACTGATTATAAAATAAAAATCATTTTACTTAATCTTTTAATTTGAGCATTTTATTCTTTCCATCTCAAATAAAAAAACAACAAAAATGTGTTGCCGGAAGTTAGTAAGGACTCAAAATAAATACAAAATTAGATCATAATATAAACCTGTATTTATGAAACAGGCCCTCCTCTGAGTAACTCCCTTATAATCACATTTTAACTGGATGAATTGGGGAAAAATGCAGAAGAAAAATTGTAGTCAGAAAGACTTAATTAGTTCTACTTTGTTTTCATCAAGACACCTGAGCTACTTTGATGAGCTTCAATAGATGTTCTCTACATCCAGTCTGTGTGTCACAGCTGAAGGTGAACTCAAACATAGAAGAAAAACTTACTTTTTGATTGATAAAAGCTTATTTAATTTTTCAATAGATGGCAGAACCAACCCCAGCCCCATTTTATTTTATTACCTGCAAAATAAAATATATTTAATTTACCCCTTGCAATGCACTTGATGACTACAAGCAATATGAGTACCCCCCATCTGGAATCACTGCACTAACTGATGGCAAACAATACGTCTTATGATGGAAAGACCCAATGTGTTTAATTTAAACTGTAATGGATATCCAAGCTAACACTCAATTAGGAGAGCATTGATCAGAGGAGCAGCCATGGTAACTCTGGAGGAGCTGCAGAGATCCACAGTTCTATGTCTCAACTTTAATAGAAGAATGATGAGAAGAAAGCCTATGTAGAAGAAGACAGAGCTGCGCTGTGTTAACACTAAAATGCACAATGTCCCTGCTGTTAGTTTCACAGCAAAGCTTTTATTTAGCTGTAGTTTAGCTAGCAACTGTTTCCAACTAGAACTAGTCTCTTGGCTAAAGCAATAGTAACCTAAATGCTGTTTTATACCTTTGTCAGAGTGTTTTTCTGTGTTCCTGTGCCACTAAGCAGCAGCTGCTAAGTCACTTCTCCACGAAAGAGCAGACTGACACGGAGCCAGACAGGAATTTACACGCACAATGACCTGAGCCGTTTAGTATGTCTGCTTTCTACTGACAGCACAACCTGCGGAGCAGCAGGGGAACTCGCTCTCAGCCTCTGAGACAGAGAAGTTATACGCAGCAGAATATAAGGCCTATGTGCGATGGTCCTCACACACACTGACGGTTTATACCTGCTCCATCCGCTGCACTATAACAGATCCACTCCGATTAGAGATAGAGGGATGTCATTTCAGAAAAGGCTGCTGAAGCTGGAGCTGTTGCTGGCTGAGAATGTCATCAAAGCAGTTTGGAGATTGGATTAAAGTCCAGAAATTATTTTTAAAAGATAATAAATTCAGACATATCCACGTTAGTCTGGATACAGGTCGTCTCCTGTGTCTTTATCTCTCTTTATGAGAGGAGAAAATGATTTGAGGAGGAAAAAGTGAAATAATTATGAAAAGATAATTAAAGAAATAAGCCCTTTCTTTATGATAAAAAATAATTATATAAACATCTATAAAAAAAAAAAAAAAATCAGCTACCAAACTATGGAGTGAAATTTGTTCTATTATTGTTTCAAGCAAAGAACATGCTTTGTGAATCGAAACTTAGAGAAAAAACAGCAATCTCGAAATGAAAACTTTGAAAAAAACTTCTTAAGAGGTTCTGAGGGTAACTTTGCCACTTTCTCAGATTTTTCAAATATTTTTTTTCATATTTTACTTTTTCTAAATTCTTTTTTTTTGTTGCAGTTTTCATATTTTCATAATTTTGATGAAATTGAAATGTCTCTTTTTCAGACCGAGTTTTAAATATTGTTACTTTTCTAATCACATTTCCCACATCCTATTCTCTTCTCTTCCAGCCCAATACAAACGTTCACTCTTGACAAATAATAATGTTGTTGCTAACGTCCGGCAGACCAATAGAAATGCTTCTTCACTCCTTACTCCAGAGAAAGTCCCGCCCCCAGAACAGAGGAGAAGAATGTGATCTGGAAACGCAGTTTAAAAAGAATCAAAATCTGTAAAACTATCTGAAAAAGAGAAAAGATTTTATTTGAAAAACATAATAGAAAAAAAAATAGATGTGAAGGCATAAAATCTTTAAAAGTAATTTGAAAAATAAAAAAATGAAAGAGCAAAGTTGGTCTCAACCTGATTTTTTTTTTTTTTATTTAATACTTTTTTATGCCTGGATTGCATTTTTTTATTTTGATTTAGAAAATGTGTTTCTTTGCAACAATAATGGAACAAAATTAAATCTATAGCCTGAGTTTTATATCTCATCAGAATCAGCAGAATAAAATCTGTATTCACTGCACTCTAGATCATCTTCAAAACTAAAGATCATTGATTCTCCACTGAAGACAGCGTTGCTTTGGGAAAAAAGGGCTCCATAGTTTCAGCCTCCATGTTTGCAACTATGAGAGACATATTAAGACCTGCAGATATATTGGTTCTACGAAGAAAACAAATCTGCACCACACTTTTCATGCTTTGTGCTTTGTAATAAATCCCTGATAAAAAGCAAATTAAGTGTTGTAGAAATGTAAAACAGGTTGTGAACACCTCAGTAAGCCGGTGTTCTGTCAGGCCAGCATACCCATAGTCAATACGCATGCGCAATACGTCAGATTTGTGTTTATCCCTTTAGTTTTGCATGAAAAATAGACTTTAAACTACCTCAACGGGCGTGTTTTCCTTTAATCATGTACAAAAAAAAAAAAAAAATACAAAAATTAAGTAATTTTGTTTTGTACATGACTAAAGAGATACACGCCCATTGAGTTAGTTGAAAGTGTATTTTTCGTACAAAACTGAAGGGATAAACGTACTGACTATGGGTACGCTCATCTGACAGAACACCGGCAATGCTGTGGGCATTCAGGAAGCTCTTTAGCATCACCAGAACTCCCGGACACCTCATAGATCGTGACAGGAACCCGCCTCACCTTAAGCTGCTTCTCCTTCTTCTTCCGCACCTCCTCCCACTCATTGACGATTCGGCCCCACAGGATCCAGGTGTCCTCCTCCAGATGGGAGAGGTTGGAGGAGGCCGAGGAGCTGGACACCAGCGAGGAGCCGCTGTTTCTCCTCGAGCCATTCATGGAGCGCAGAGACTTGCTGTCCGTCTCCAGAAGCCTAAAATCAGCAGGAGGAGAAGGATGTTAGTAATTCATAGGCTGTTGACACATGAACTTAAATGAGGCTATTTAAAAGGGGTCAAACCTGACTGATCACCTATCTTTATAAAGCCTGACCTTCCAATGCTGATTTCCTTTAACCAACACAGTCAGCCATTAAAGACTCTTAATACACCTTTAAATTTTCCAATCTTATCCAACTGAAAAAAATTTATCATAAAAACATTTCCTCTTTTAACCCCTTAGCTGTCACCCCAAAAACACCAAAGAAAGCAAATGCAACTTTTTAAAGGTAACATTTTAAACTTTTAACCAGATTGTTTAACTTTTTTCTAGTATTTTAGGTTTTAGTTACCGAGGGTCAAACTATAATGCTGCGTTCACACCGGACGCAGCAGGAGCAGCAAAATCGCCTCTGCTGCTTCATTTTTGCTGCTTGTACAAGTTAGTTCTGATGCGCGGCTGAAGCAGCTTTGTTGCTCTGGCTGTTACTCTATCCTTTTTCTGCCTTGCAGCTATATTTGCTGTGATCAGTGGGAATAAAGTAGTTTTAATATGTTTTTAAGTGGGAAAATCCACCTGAAAACTTAATCAGTGCAATCAGTTCATCCAGATTACCATCCTGCCTTCCAATACTGTTTCTGTCGGAGCCGCTCAGACCCCCACATACCGGCGGCGCGCTGTCAGTAAGAATCCCATTCAACAGCAGCCTATGGCCCGGTCGTCTCCTCGCGGTTCGCCGCGGCGGCTGGAAGGTGGTTTTCATGTACGTAATCCAAACTAATAAAAGCGAACACGCTTTGTCGGCAGATTTTTTAAGTTAATTAAGGCATTAATAAACTGTTTCAGAGGAGTGATCACAGCGCTCTGATCATCAGTGATGTGTCTGTCTCACGGCCAGCTCCCAGATCAGCGTTTCTGATTGGTTGATGCAGCGTGTTGAGAAGCAAAAGTTCAATGTTCGATCTCGAGCAGCGGCGCGTTGCGCGCGTCAGATGCTTAAACGCTCCCGATGCGCTGCTTCAGCTGCTCAGACACGCTGCACCTGCTGCTCAAAACGCGCTGCGGGGCCTTTTGCTGCGCCTTGACACACGTCAACCATTGACTTTGCATATGAACTCACTGCTTCTGCTGCGCCTGCTGCGTCCGGTGTGAACGTAGCATAATGCTTTGATGTTGAAATTAAAGGGTTAACATCTGATCTTCACTCCACTAAAACAGACATTGTAGGGATTAGAGATGCACCGAAGCATTTTTTTCTAGTATGCTAAGCAAGCATGTGTCATCCAGTTCATTCATGCTTTCAGCAGCCACTCCTTGTGTAAATTAGACTATTTAAAGACAACTAAGAAAATACAAATAGCCTTATTTGTATCTTCAGAACATTACTGGTTGACAGCCTTACTTTTTTTTTTCTTTTTTAATAGTTGTAGGAATTATTAAGTGACTGATGCAGTAAAAGCATGTGGAGAAGAGGAGACCCAACTAAAGGCTGATTTATACTTTGAAACCA